AAAGTGTAAGTTTTTGAGGAATAAAATTAGGGGTTTTTGAGTGACATTAACAGCTTCTTCAAGCCAAAGTTTCAAGAGAAAACCAAGAAGAGGGAAACCTGGCATCTTCTGTCCCTCTGCTTGAGCTGGAAACCTCAGCTATGAAAACAGGATGGATAATAAATAGTTCTGTCTCAGTCTCATGTGGACTAACATGATTAAAAAGATAACACATCACTCAGCATGTTTCTTTGGTTCTTCATTAATGAATGGTTGGTACATAGCTTTATTAAAATGCCAGAACCTCATATCCTGCTGTAACTATTGATTTAATCTTCCTGGTGTTCACTTGTGTGGAACTACTCATACTTTACATCACAGGTACAGGAAAAGCAGCTGGATTCTCCACATGTTTCTGGAGGCAATAAGAAAACCCAGGCTGTCTGGTATTTGCTATAAAACTCTACCCTGGGTTTTTGGGTTCTACATCTATTCTCTGGCGCTGAATAGCACTTATCGATGCTTTTACTGGCTGCAGACATGTCTGTTTGTGAGGGAATATCGTGTTTAACTTCCCCAGCAGGATCTATTCCTTGAAATTTCCCTTGACCTGCAATTGTGGCCAAGCTGATGCAGCAACACAAGGATGAAATAAAGGAGGAGTGGAAGGATTTGGTTAGGTGGGCCAGGGGGTTAATAAGGGCACCAAACTGAGGTTACCCCTTGCAACACACTTAAAGGCACCGAGATGTGAAGAAGTGTAGAGGTCTAAAAATTCTTGGGGCAACCCAAGGGCTTTCCATGGAGAAGTGAGCAGGGCTTTTCCTCAGCCACTTGACAGAGCAACACTTACACGGCCAGTGAGGTCCCATCAAATGCAAAGCCCATAAGCTTTTGAAACAAGCTACCGGGAAGAAGAAAATAAAGTACCTGTTTATTTTCAAGCTGTGCAAAAATACAGGTTCCTGTATTGTTTCTGTCGTGAAGAGCTCTCTTATAACATTTCAATCCAACTTTTGCCAGCAGTAACTACTTCTAGATGCCAGAGATGCAAACAGCTCCTTCCTCATATCCTCCCCTGCCTTATGACTTCTACCTGCAGGTAGGAAAAAAAACACTCCAAAATCTCAACTGCTTGTTTCAAGGCTGTCATCAGTTTGCAGTTTTTCTTCCTACCAGCTGACCAGGTAAGCAAGAAATTATAGAACTCCTATAGAAGATTATATGTTTAGCCCTTCAGAGTGGGGAGGTATGTAACCTTTCTTTCAAACATCCCCCTGTCACCTTCCCACCCTCTCCCCGAGGCTCATTCCAGCTTGTTCACAAATCAGAGGTAACTGACAGAAGCAAATCAGATCCCATAAATCACTCAGGAGGTGCTGCAGCAAGGAAGGTGAGGGTGCACTGCCTCTGTGTGAATTGGAGGTCACCAAGATGTTCCTCATGACTCTCTTACAGATCTCATTCCCCTCTCATCCTTGGGACCACATCCAAGAAGTCCACCCTTGCCATGAGGGAAGCCTGTGGTTGTGTCTGAAGGGTCAAAATCTGGGGCTTAACAGCATCACCTTTAAGAATCAAATCTTCCTCGATCCTCTCTGCTGCTTGTCTTCTTGAAAGAAGGTCACTTATTATTGTGCTTCAGAACAGATTTTAACCCCTTGACTTAATTCTCTGATTCTAATCTCCCCAAAATAAGGGCACTTAGTACACTGCAGAACAGATTTTAACACTGTGGATGTTGGTTTATAGCTCCAAGAGAGGGAGGGAGTTGCACCATTCTGCATTACTATGAGTTTTTTTATACAGTGGCTGAAACACGGCACACAGGTAGGTTTTAATAACACCTGCCATGCTGACATTAATGGGAACTATGAGCATAAACCCACAGAGACATGAAAAACAATGCTGAGCCCATAAATTAGAACAAAGTGGTAGGTAAGAGAAATCTCCAAAGCACTGTTAAATGGTTGTTTACTGACTGGAGCCCCTCAGTGAAATGATCTGCTTCAATGGGTCACTAAATTGCCAAAAATGGGGTGGGGGTTAAAGTTGAATATCTTAACACAATTGTTAACATCAAAGAGTTCTCATTTTGCCAGAAAAGAACCCTCAGCACCTGCAGAATGACGTCAAAACAAATTAAGTGGTTGCCACTATACTGTCATTAACCAAATTCTAGGCCTTTATACTGTATAAAAACTTGACAGACCAATTTTTGATGGAGAAAATACTTTCCCCACTCTATGTACCTACCTAGGTACTGCACTTTAATGAGTGATATTTTCTGCTCAGGTAGAAAGGTACATGGGTAGAGGTGCTGAAGTGTAACTAGGGAGGCGAATTTTCTCCCAGATACTCACCTTTTCCCATTGTGTTGAAACCTAGAAATGGAAGAAAAACCACCCTGAAAAACCCTAACCTCGTGTCTGTGAACTTTTGGCACTTGAAATTGTTTTGCAAGTTGAAAGTAACATGAAATCCTACTGAATGCTATTAAAAAGGTGAAGCTTTTAGATAGCCCTATAACCAGGAAAATAGAAAGGAATTTAAACCAAGAAAACAAACAAAATGAAGAACTCCCAACGTGCTCCCAATAATGTAGCAAGCTTAAATTAATTTGTTGTCTTACTTCTTATTCTAACCTGTGCAACTTTGTTTTAGGACCCATATATAGTTTTCAAAGGATGCTTAACCACCAGCTCTCTGAAAACTACCCTGGTGGAATACACACTGCCAAATAGGCTACATTACATGATGAAAACATCAAGTTTTCATAAACTTTGTTTTACAAACACAAGATATGAAAATGCTTGATGTGGGACCACGCAGTATTACTTAACTGAAGATAATTGCCAAAATCCTACACCGTGCATTCAAGTCATTCATGAACTCAGCACATTCACTTCTCCTTCAAGAGTTCACTATCTGACTAATTAACAGAGCTGGGAGAAAAAAACTTTAAACAACTTCCTGGGGATTAAAACAAGCCACAGAGACACCAGATAAAGGCTATTTTTCTTCTGACTGTATCAGAATGATTTCATCCTGCGTTGTCAGGGTGGGTGTGAAAGCACATTTCCCTCTCAAAATGAGGAATTCACGCACAGCAAGGCTGATATTGGTTCTAATGCTGTGGCTAAGTGAATATTTTCTTTTTCATTATTTCTATTTCTGCTTTAGGTCAAGATCAGATGTCAAAAGACTACAGTACCAAGTGAGAAGCTGTTGTATTATACTCAGAAGTAATTATTGCAAGGAAGTGTTTAAAATCTCGTACTGGATTTCCCCAAGTGAGGAATATTTTCTCTGTTAAAAACCATGAGAAACCACACTAGCAATAAGACACCAACATTTTTATCCTTTTTATCTCTTGCTAATACATACAGATTTAGAAAGAGTCTTACAAGGCCTATAGCTGAATATCAGAAGTTATGATGGAATGTTCCATTCTGCTGAAACAACAGCAAAAAAGAGATCAAAGCTTTAGAGTCTGGTGAGAGGAAAGTTCTAGGAAGTTCAGTAGCAGCCATATAGTTATTTTTAGTCCCTGTGTTTCACTAGTTCCTTCCTGATCCCTTTCAGTTCTCACACCTACGCAGAGGAGATGGTATCCCATATCCTGGAGCAAACCTTGTAATGAATAAGGAATTACTAGTTCACCCTTAAAACTATGCTCTCACACAAGTAAATATGTCATTCAGTTCTATGCTGCTCTCATGAGACCAACAGAAAAATTCCAGCATCGATGGCAAGATACACGTATGACAGATTTCCGTGAAAAATATCATGCTCCTCTGCTCTCTGAGTTCAGCAGGCCTGGTCTGGATGTGTGGTAGGTAGATTTTTGGGATGTATTCATGTGAAGCAGGGGCATTCAGCAAGAGGAGTAGTATTCGTCATTTTCTATAATTTATTAGCATCATCTTAGGGAGCCTGGTACCTGCCCAGTTGGACTATCTTCTTCATAGATATAGGGTAAAAATCTACTCTCCCAGTCTAGTACTCTTGTACTGCAGTATTTTCTCACGTTTCCATCTTTAATTGTAATGGCTGTAGCTTAATTCCTCATACTAGTTTCCCCCCACGAACCTTTTTATGGCTTCCTGTCCTTGGTCAGAGATTTCACTGGCTAAACCCTGCACTGCAGCTCTGAAAATCTTGCAGATCTTACCTGATCTTACCTCCTTAAGTAGCTGCTGATTACATTAATCTCTAAATATAACTCCGGGGAGAAATGAAGCTGTTTCAAATGAAGTAAACTAGGGAGCCTTCAGTCTTTTGGAGCTGAGATGCTCAGTTTCCAATCAGAGCATAACATTAGCTGAAAACTGCCTTCTAGCCTCATTGTGTACAGGAAGCTATTGATACCACCAGAACAGAACAAAATATTGCCCTTATATTGGAAACCTGTTTGACATGCCATTTTCTTTGTTGATTAGAGTACTGCACAATTTTCTGCTAAACGTTAATCTCAAGGTGATTAAAGCCAAGGAAAAGGAGAGGAAGGAAAGTGGAAATTTGCTTACAAACCCTAAACAGGCTCGTAGGCAATCTACCCCTTCTGCTGCTGGTCAGCTTGAGTTTCCATCATATTTTCTGTGTTGGAGGAATTTTGACAGGTTTATGTGTGACACCAGGTTACCCTGTAAAGTGGAAAGCCTGTAATTAGATGCTGTGCCATCAGGTGCCTCCCACTGGCAACCTTAAATCTGCCATGAGGAAAACACCCTCAGGGAGGCCAATGCCTCTACAAGTCACTCACCTGTCACCTGTGGGATGTACCTGAACGCAGCTACCTCTGTAAAGGACCCACCCCCAAATCTGTGGGATGGCTACAGATGAGGCAAAATATTTGTCAAATATCGTCTTGCACTGCTGCAACACTGAGCTCGGGAAAAGCGTTTTCTCCAGCAGCAAAAAGCAAGCAGGAGAATCTCATCCAAACCTACCACCTCTAAAGCCACCACCAGGACTGCGTGAAGGGACAGCTACACCTTTTACACTTCAGTGGGTTACAGGATGTTTTTAGTTGCTTTGAAAAGTGTTTAGCCAAGAGCTGTGTTATTATTTGAATGAAACACTCTTAACTTGTATGTGCTGCTGTCAGATAGCTACTGGTTTTCATTTGAAGAAAAACCAGTACCTGAAATAGCTGAAACTGGACGAAATGAAAGGCAGGCATAACAATAAAATACAGTAAAGCTTAAAAAGTATGAGACAGGATGGACCAGGCTGAAGAAATCAGCTAAAAATTTTTTCCATCTGAAGTCATTAAAACATTTATGATTTTGTTATTTCTTAAACGTCACCTATGAAAGAAGTTGCCTTGCATAAGAGAGAGGTGTTGCTACATACCCAAATGCATGCACCAGCCACGTGACTGCCATAAAAACTTCAGAGGTGGCTGCCTAATTAAAACACTAATGTTTTTAATAATGTATTTCTTGGAACTGCTTTTAATGTGCTCAGATATACATAGGTGTTTACTTCTCAGGTAACAGTGTGCAAAAGGAGGAGACAAGTCTGTTCCATGAGCATCATGTGCACATCATTGTTGGATACAGTACTGAGCAAGGAAAAAACACTCTCAGAGAGACAGGAAGGGATTTACACTTGTAGATACCAGTTAAAGGTGAGGCACCATAGCTGTCCTAAGTTTCTTGGACAAGTATTGATCGTTTTAGCAAGGGGGAGGAGCACCTAAACCCCAAACTCCAGAAATTAGGCATTTTTCTGCGTTGTCAGAGCTATTTCACAAGAACCATTTCTTCTGCATCTTTCTTAACTGTAATAGGTGCCTTCTTAATCACAACAGAAAAAACACTGGGTACCACGTTGCAGCCATAGTTCAGGTTTGAGCATCTAACTACACTTAATTTTATGGTGTTCAGCTCTTCAAACTCCACAGCTAAGATACTCTAACTGTGCTATCCCACGCAATATTACCTTGCAACATCACAGAATCTGCTTTACAGAACACTAAAATCCTTGGAGATGCAGACTGACCATAAAAGTCATACATATATGTAAAATATATATAAATATAACGTTATATTTTTATAGAGGAAAGGCAGCCTTTAAAAAAAAAAAGTACCCAAGCTCGTTGAAGAAAAGCTGTCCATTTGAGCCTTTGGATATTTCAATATCCAATACATAAACACAGAAATTAAAATAGTAACACAATTTGAAGATGATCATTGAGACTGACAGACATCCATGTCTAAGTTTATAATTTTCGCTCCTTTGCTGAAATATCTTATGACCAAAAAAGTGTAAATGAAATAAAGTCAATGGTTTCAGTCTAATCTTTCCTTAGAACTCAATCTATGAAACATTCTTTGTCACAGCTATAACAAGGGTCAATTTGGGCAGCTTCCATTCTCTCCCAGCAATAAACCAAGCAGAGGATTGGATTACCGAGACCTGCCAAGTAGTTTTGCCAAAGTGTGAGAAGCAACACAAATGATTACCACTTACCAACCTTGTGGGGTGTTTGGCAGCTGGAACCCATGACCTTTATTTTGCAAAAGCTCGAGCCCCAGGAAAGTGACAGGAATGCAGAGACCATGAAAATTTGGGTATGGACAAGTCTGAGACAGGGAAATTCAAGAGGAGGGAAAATGACAAAAATAATTGAATTCTTTGTCTGTCAAAGGAAACTCTACTCCAATGTCTAGAATGGCCTGTCACTTGATTAAGAGCTTAGGGGACTGCACAGAGCTGGCTGAAGTTTGTTGCCATCCAATGCAGAAATCCTGGTCTCCCCTGAGCACAGAATTTGAAGGCTTTTCCACTTTAAACCCAACACCCACACAACTCTGATTTTTGAGGTTAATGATTTTCAGTAAAAAAAAAAATCTGAAAAAGCCCCAGACTTTCAAAAAATGTGAAAACCATTTTTTCCAGTGTGTGGGACTTGAAGAATATTTTTTTGTGCAGCTGCATAGGAAAAAGAGTTTCCCAGTAGTTTGCCCACATGGCTTCTTAAGAGCATTCCTGTTCTTTGCCTCAATCACCACTGATCACTGCAGCATGAAGGCTGGAGTAAAACCCCTGGGAATGTGCCAAGGCTAACCTACAGTGAGCTGAGGGAAGGTTCACGCTGCTGGGATGAGGTATTGATGTAGGACATCTAGGAAAATTCACTTCATCCTGCCCTATCAGGGGAGAGGACTCCACACTTTACTCCCTCGTCTTTGTCCCATACTTCATTCTGGCAGATTATCTTCTGCTTTTTGCCCTTTGGGCAGGGTCATTCTGCTCTCAAAAGGTGCTTACAGGATGTAGCTTTTTGATTCAGACACCTCCTTGTGGAGTAACCGCTCTAATGTCATTTGAGGGGGGGGGAAAGCCCCTCAAAATACCTACAAAATTAAAAAACCCCACAAATTTGCTAGGCTTTTTTTTTTTTTTTTTTTTTTCCTCTGAACTTCTTGAATCCCAGCCTAGGGACATCACAGTAGTTTTTAAGATTCCTCTTGATTAAGAGTCACAAATCCACTGATGGACTTAGGTGTTTCACTTTGATGCCTTTTATGAACACCTCATATAAAACCCGACGATATTCACGCTTCGAGATGACTGCCGTGCCAAAAGAATGGCAAAGGTAGATGGTGCTGGATTCCCCTAAGGACACACACAGTTTCCTCGTTTTATTACCGTGGCAGTGCTTTCGTTTACCCCAAAAAAAGTACTTCTGTGCCACCTAGTGGCATCATAGTTTAGTGACATAATTATTTAACATTTCATCTCCAAACCACCAAGTCCAAATGCAGTCCGAGGTGTTATGGAATTTTCTTATCGTTTGTGTTTCATTGCGTCCAGGTCAGGACAGGAGCATCAGCCAGGCGGGACCCCCATCAGCAGTGGGACTGCTCTGTGTACAGTCCCAGTCTCCACAAAACCCTGCAGAATCGGCATCAGCTCAGTCAGAAACCATGTTGGTTAAGATTTTTCATCAAAAATCTAGCGAACTCTACCCTTAACTCGTGAGGAAAACCTCTTTACTCCTTTCCCTCTCACCTGCACAGGTGAGTCACAGTGCCTCAGGTAAAGTTTTCTCCAGGTACTTTGGTGAATGTCCCCTCTGCAGGAGGGTCTGCATGTTTTTCATGCTTCATTTCCAAAAATGAATTTCTCAGTTGTCCTGGAATACTCTATGCAGTCAGAAGACACTGTCCTGCCCTTATGAGAGCCTGCCCAAGGGAAGGGTAAATAAACCGGTTCAAATCCTACTGAATTCTAGCAAGAGCCCTCTCTCAAATGCACTGTTGGGTCTTTTTAAAGCTACAGGGTGAAAAAAATTACTCCAAAAGAATAATTGCCACATTTCACTGGAAAACCTGAAATCACTTGCTTTTTAATGAGAACTGTGAACTCTCCCTTACATGGCAAGGTTTACTGATTTCTGTGAAACCTCTGCCAGCCAGACTTCGTAATGACTCGGTGTTGCCTTCTCAAGTACTGCAGCAGCCCCTCAACAGCCATCCAGAATGTGATGTAGTTTTACTCCTGCAGCTCGTGCAAGGAAACAGCGCCTTTAAGCCAGATGGCAGCTAGGAGAGTTGAAGTGACCTAATCTGGAGCTGCGCGATGTGAAAAGAATTAAGGCACTACTTCAAAATGTGCAACTCCTGTCCCTGTCCCCAGTGACCAGACCCCACTAGATGGCAACCCACGCCTTGGCTCTGTCCCTGCAGCTCTGGAATTTGTGTTACTTGGCTGGTTTAAAAATTAAGAGGCCCAGGGTCTTAAGATGTGTATCTTTTTTTTTTTTTTTTTCCTTTTTATCTCCTTTTACTTTATCCCTGATCGTTTAGGTTTTTAAATATGTAGAAATTGATTTTTTTTTTTCTTTAAATGAGATGGGCTTTTTGTAGTGTACGGCTTAAGTGGAGCTTATATTTTTCTGGTATAATACGCATTGCTTTACAGAACAAATAAAACACCTGTGTATTTTGAATCCAGGCAGCATAAATAATGCACAGATTTTATAATTCCATTGTTGGCTTCAGGCTCACAGAAGAGGGAATGAGTCAGACTTCAGTAGATATACCACAGAAAAATAACTTGGAGTCTTTCTCTACTAGTCAAAAACTTGGTCACTGACTGCTAAAAAATGCCTTTATGATCCTCCTCCATCATAATTCTAAAAGATGTTTCATAGGATGTTAAATGAACATCTAAGCCAAAAGGATATTCCTTCCTTTGAGAAAGTCCTAAACTTTCAGTTTGCAGCAACATAAGTAATTTATATTTACAAAGCTTAATTAAATAATATAATCCTTCTGTATTAAAGCTATAAAGGAATTGCATTTAGTCTGCCCTGTGATTCTCAAGGTATAATTTAATAATTGCTTTCCTACTATTTGCTCTGCAAGGATTTGATTGTAAAGCAGTTGGCTTTGACTGACCATTAAACAAGAGTTCTGCAAATTAATAAGGACCATTCACAGAAACGGTTTGTTCACCAAAAATCCAAATAAAAAGCTGTATTTTAACAAGGGGTTTACAGAAGCAGAAAGAGAGATTTGGGTATTTGTGATATTCAAATGTCACGTAAAGCTTAAAGCTGCAGGCTGGGCACTAATTTTACATAAATCTCTCTGGATACAAATATATATATTCCAATGCACACTCCAGAATTTTAATCCCTTACAAGTTCCCCTTCAGACTTGTTTGTGCTCTCCATCTTCTCCCCAGCACTGGCACAGGTTGCCCAGAGTAGCTGTGGATATACCATCTCTGGAAGTATTCAAGGATAGGTTGGATGCAGCTTGGAGTGACCTGGTCTAGTGGAAGGTGTCCCTGCCCATGGCAGGGAGCGGAACAAGATGATCTTTAAGGTCCCTACCGACCCAAACTGCTTTGTAATTCTATGAAATACAGAGCCAAACAAGTTCAGCTGTTCTTCAGGAACAGCTTTGTGCTGCTTCAGTCATATCCTGAGTCCA